ATAATTTCTATATATTAATTTTAAGAATATATGATATAAAAATTAGCAGTTACCATAAATAGAAACTAAATCGATAATTCAAATTAAATATAATATTAATCAAAATCGAATTTTCGAATATATATATATATATNNNNAGACTAGGCCTTGAACCCGGGAAGATACGGGATAAAGTGCCGGACAAAGTGCGGGACAAAGTGCCGGACAAAATTAGGTTTCAGGCCAGAATCTCGGAACAACCTTTGGGATAAAATACAAGCGAAATGCTTAAGCATCGACAAATCTCTGTTAGATTTTCGGACATTGATGAATCTCTCTGATTTTGGGCATCGAGGCACATCCGATTGTATCTTTAAATTGAGTGCTGGCATGGTCTGATATTCTAATATTCGGATATATGATAACACATCCACTAACACTCTGTAAAAGATGACAATACCAATCCGTCTATCCGTCGCTCAAGACCGATAAACTTTGCAAGTGGCCCAAATCTGCCGACCAATATGGGACTACGAGAACCACTCGGCATTAAGGCTTCTCACAAAGTTCGCAGACCGCTCGGGGACCACTCGAGAACCGCTCAGGGACTGCTCGGGGACCGCTCAGAAACCGCTCGGGGACCATTCGGGAACCGGTCGGGCACCACTCGGGACCATTCGGGGACCACTCGGGGACCGCTCGGGGACCGCACGGGAACCGCTCGGGAATCGCTCAAAAAACCACTCGGTGAGGAATAAACTTGGACCCACCACTTTCATACGAGCTTCGTATGCAAATGGTGGTGGGTTTGAGTTTGCTGTCCCCCAGTGGTCTCCGAACGGTCCCGAGAAGTCCGCGAGCAGTCCCGAGTGGGCCCCGAGCGGAACGGTCCTAAATATTCCCCGAGTGGTCCCGACCGATCTCCGAGAGTTTTCGAGTGGTCCCCGAGCGTTCTCTCGATAATTCTCCGAACTGGTTTTTAACGTCCCCAGCGCTCCCTAGACACGCGGCTTTTGTATCGAGAGCGAGGTCGAGCGGCTTCGAATCATCTGGGTAAATGTATTCGGTCGTGGCCATTTATGACAAGCGTACCGTGATAATCTCATATATCGGAACAGCCCAATCGACCGTTTGTGGCAAACATATCGTAATAACCTCATATATCGGAAGAGCCAACCGGCCCGACTTGTTGCGCAGAAATGCTACTAAATCAGCTGGGGTCTGTTATATCTTCGCTTGGGGTCTCATTCCATAGACAGACCAAATCTTACCAAGCACTTGTCCCGAATTTCGGGCTCAAATCGATTTTTATATCAAATTTTCCAAGTACTTGTCCGGTGACTTCACAAACAAATCTATTCAAGCATTTATCCAGACGATTTGCCTAAATTTATAACGAACCTAACCCCAGATTTGAATTAATCACTCCAATAAATATATATATATATTTTTTTAACTATTTTTTAGAGAATTTGAATTAATTTAATATTTAAATAACAAATAAATTATTAAATCAAAACAAAAATAATTCGAAACTAAAAAATCTTTTACTCTATTACCTTAAACAATAAAATCTTTATTATAGTAGTCAAAAAAATAAAATATTCCAATTTTCAGAAATTTTCATATATCAATATATAAAAAATATTTTCATATCCAAATTTTATCATCAATTCAATCAAAATAGAAATATAGATTTTTATCATTATTAGAATAGAAAAATTCATAATTTTTCTTATCATACCGAGAGAACGAAATATTTTTATGCATACGTCTAATTAAGTCGAATCCAACCCATCAACGAATAAGACACGTTCCTTATCCCCATTACAAATAGAAATTTAAGTCTTTTTAGAACCCCGCTCCCGTGAGATAGTATTTTTCAGAATCTCGGTCTACTTTAACCTTCCGTGCCTCTTCCTTACAGCAGAATACGAAATCGTTGTCATCATCATCATTAGCATCCTTAATCATCATGATAACTTTCTTATAATAATTACAAATTCACATTCATGGCAGAATCTTATTAGAAAATATCTATTTTTGCAAAGCTTGGGCGTATTTAAATCTAAATGCCGGGAGAATGCGGCGAACCCAAGAACCGGCATCATATATATATATATATTTTTTTATGAATACTAACTAGATACCTATTTTTTTCAGTTAAATATTGAGATAATTTAATTTCTCTCTACTAGTTCTTATTATTTAGTATCTGTTACTTATATCATATTCATTATTCATTTTTTCTTAATCCTGACATATTACTCAATAGAAAATTATTACCTACTACTTATACCTATGAAATACAATCTATTTTTTCTTGCCTATTTGTTATATATGCCTATTCATTATTTCCCATTGCTTCTCGCCTCCTCTCCATTCTCTCTACCTATGCCTATTTTCTATTGTTTGCAATCTCCTGCGTCGTACCTCTTTCTCATTACCTGCTGCCCATTGCCTATATCTATTAGCTGTTTCCTCTCCTACCTATTATCTGCTGCCGCCTACTGTCTATTGCCTACCACTTATTATGCCTATTGCCGAAATTTATTAACTATTGCCTTCACTCTCCTGCCTGCTACCTTATATCTACTGTCTATTGCCGGCTGCCTATCATCTGTTGCCTAATGCCTATTATCTGTCGCCTACTAATTATGCCTATTGCTTGTTATTTGCTGCCGAGTATCTGCCATACTATTTATAGCCTATTTTGGCACATTGTCTACCGTCTATTATTTCTTACAGATTTCTTATCAATTTTTGTGTACTACCTACTGCCTATTATCCATTGCTACCGCGATGGGCTTGGGTGGGCATCGGAAGGTTAAGATTAACGAACCTGGCAGAAAGTAGAATCCCACTCAATCAAGCATGTCTTAAATCATAATGTCAGGAGCCACGGATCTTTTGCAGATATTCCTGAATTGTGCGATGGCTCGAGTGAGAGTCGTGCCATCCCATGGAGCAGTTTCCTACCAAAGCCTTACGAGTTGCAGTCCTACAGTACATAGTCTTGAAAAGAGCAGAATACTGGTAATTAGAATCGGATCTGGGGATATAGCACACTGTTAGTATGTAGGGACTATCAATGGGACACCATTACTAATTCTTCCGACCCTATAGTTTTTGCGGTTTTCAGCTCGGCCAGGCAGTGTCGTACCTGATGATAATAGTACCACCGCCGACAGCTTCGCCACCACGCCTTGGCCGGGCCTTGGCTTTCGGCCTTCTTGTCGAAGAAGTTGAACTGTTGACTTCATCTACATCCATGGATCCGGACGCTTGTGGTTGTCGTTGCTGATATGGACCGTGAATTTGGGATGAATCAAGGCAATCAAGGATCAGCTGCTTAGGGTAGAAGTCGATGGCCTCCTCCATAATCGTGAACCAGGCTAAGCCCTGCCGCAATGAAGGAGATCCGGTGTCGCAATTTCGGACAGAATGTTGATCGCTCCCAAAGGACACAAATGGACCAGTGCGCTCGCCAACTTCAATGCTTCCGGTGGCCAGCATATCGAGGGCATCCATTGCTTTCGCCTTCACCGCGTTGTGGAACTCTTGATCAGGATGAGATGGCTCTTTAAGGTCTTGCTCCGGCTGTCTTCTTTCGTCAATGGCCTCCTCGGGAGCAGCTCCCACACCTTGAGAGGAATCGACCTGGATGTCATCATCCTCTTCCATCCTTTCGTCTACACCTGAATCAGGATGTAAAGTCCGGGAAGTTGGAATAGCTTCAAATCGAGGAGTGGGGAAGCTTGCTGTCATCTCACTGATGTACCTCTCAATTTCTTCGTTGTTTCTTGGAGGAGATCTCAGTTCTCCTTCTTGGAGTATAAGCGGTAATCAGCTCGATGGACCCAGAGGCACAGTACCTGTAGGATGATCGTTCCAGGCCTTGGATGCACGCATTCATGTCCTGAAAGTGCCCCAGTTGTCGAACTTCTCTGGATAACTAACTCATCGCAAGCGTAAGCATTCCCAACGCAAGCTTGAATACATCTCCCAGCAACTCCTCTTTGGGATTTGTCCCATTGTGGAGAAAAGTTCCCTTCGGTCCTCAGCAGAAAATATTCTATTCATGTAACCGGCGTAGGCAGACTTCCAGCATCGTGGTAACCAATGAAGCATAGGTTGTTGTCCTTGTCATAGGCCCTGTCCCACGACAGTTGTTGGCTTTACAGCAACTTGCATGTGACACCGCGAGGTCTGGTGAAACTCTCAGCCCACCATAGGCGGACACGGTCTTGCCATAGTCCTCGTACGCAATCGGAGCGCGCTGCTGTAAATATTCCACCAAACCGTCTGGGGGCGGATGAGTTGAAGCTTGGAACCATTATTGAAACCAGCTGATGCCAAATCATGTCATGCTGCTCGACGATTATAAGTGCTCCATAATCTGGTAGTAGGCAAATCCAATGCAGTAGGTTGGGAATTCTGGGCCGTCAAGTTTCGTGGTATTTCTGCCGTTCACATTGGCTGCAAAAGAATGTCTTGCTTCCGCACCATTGATCTCAGTGGTGGAATACTCGTCGATCTTGAACCAGTACTAGTTCTCGCCAAGGTAAATCTCGGGAGTAGTCAAGGCGATGTCGAAGTTTTGCCACTCTACGGAAGAGCGCCCAGCAAAGCTGTGGCGCTTCCCTTCGGTCTCGATCTCCTGACGTCTTCCGTAGACACCCATGACTTTGAGTCAACGTTTGAGGAAAAGGGAACTTGTCGGTTGTCTTCCCAAATCTCCACGTATTCCGACAAGCTGACGATTTGGACGTTAATCAATCCACTCGATTTTGAGATCAACTGTTCCGGGATGAAGCAAGCGGCAACCATCTTCTGGCAAAAGAGCTGTTTCTCGTACAAGGCAAAGGCGCAATGATGCAACCCATTTCCAACTGAATCAGCAGAAAGAAGGTGCGAGTCGTTGTCATTGTCCTTGAGAGAGCACACGAGCTTGCACCAAAATGAGGATCCATGCACAACTACGCATCCTCGAACTCGGAGTTCTAATGCGATGTAGGCGCCAATGGCGGCCAACCCGATGAACTGACTCCTTCGCTGAGCATCTTGGCTTGCGCCGAAGGTGAATCGAAGGTCGCGGTTGATAGCCACGATTGGATCAGGCGAAAGGAGCTTCATGGTCTCGAGGATTGGATTCGCATAGGCTTCCTTCAGTATCCTTTCCTCTCATAAGGGAACAGCAAGTTCTCGATGACCGCGGCTTGTAATGAAAGGTGAATGTGAACTGTCACCATGCTTCGGTTCTGAGCAGACATGTTCTCGACCGTGGTCTTCTGCCGATCCAGAGTTCTGCGCGCGACATTGAGGTCGCACCTGCCTTCAGGAGAAGCAGCCGTAACCGTGGTATCAGATCATCTTTAGCAGTTCAAGTTTGTAGAGCTAGGCCGAACTCTGCGACAAATCCTAGAGAGGGCGCCAAAGCGCGCAAGACAGCGCGCATGACCCTAGCAAAAGAATCAGACCATCCTTTGCCTCCTAACGCCTCCCACAAGGTGAGCACAGTTCTGGTACTCTTGTTCCTCGCACAGATCTCAAAGTTTGCGCAAAGAATTGTACGTTGCGACGGTGTGGGAGTAGCATCGGGGCTTCCACCCATGGCCAAACTGTTTTTCATCACTGTGCCCGCTTTCAATGTGTCATTCTTCAACTCTTCTGTGATGTCAGGCCTGTCGGAAAGGCCCCCGGGTATCGCAGTAATTGTTAACATGTCCTCCGAACATGGACCTAGCAGCCAGGAACACTGTCCAACTCGGCTCCATCAGCGGGCCTGGCTGGCAGCAGTCCTCGTAACCCTGCCAGTTTCCCGCAGGCAAGCATGCCCCCAATCCTTCCCCTCGGGCGTGGCGATGAACCGCAACATCATGGAGTGCACAAAGCAAGTGGAAATAAGAAGAAAGAAGCCAAACAGGTGGTTGTCATCATAGCCAGCACTTTGCACATCCAAGAAGCGGCACATGGGGCTTGCGTAGGTGGCATTGGGAACGCCAGGAACGACTTGGATCGGGATTCGCTGCCCACACAGATGGCAGAATCCTACTGTGAAGAGGATTGTGCTGTACCAAAAGGCCGCTCGATACCAGGGGCACATGCCCGCGATGATGGGACAGTACTCCATGATGGGACAGTACTCCTTTCTCTGGAAGATGTCTTACACGGGTTTACCAAAGGCGCAAGTCAAGTCTGCAGTTCCTCTGTTTGGTATATGCCCCATCTCGTACGCCTGCACCGGAGAGTCGGACATGGCCGCCAGCATTACGGATGGCAAGAGAATGAAAGGTTTTGAAATTGAAGCCTCGGTTGAAATGCATGGAAGCAATGCCGTCGCCAGGCAGCTCATGTTCTTGCGGCGAACTCAGATCTCACACCCCCAAGTCCTGCAAGACAAAACCTGGTCACCCCAGCTCTTGAGTTGGAAGAACACAATCTTGCCATCCAGATTGGGGGGCCACGTCGCTTTGCCCTTGCCTGGGCGACCGGGCTGTCATCTGTTCCATCGTCCTCTAGCAAATCTTGTGAAATTTTGGGGCAGACGATGCGATTCTCGGCGTTCCTCACGTGCCTGTTCTTCAGTGGTGCGCTCAGAAGCCACTTGGCCGTGGGCTGCTGAAGCGGAGTCTTCATCCGCAGAAGTGTCATCTGAAGCCCAGACAGGCGGTGGGCTTGCTATTTCCTCCGATCCGTCTGCACTTGGCTTGGCCGCAGCTTTCTTCGCGAAGCACTTTTGCTTCCGTTTCTTCTTGACGGACTTGATGCCTTCTGCTGCATCCATGTGCTCGACAAGCTTGCTTCTACTCATCCTTCAGACGTGGTCAAGGCTTTTGCGGAACCTGCCAAACAACCAGTCGCTTGAATCCATCTGTTTGGTGCGGGATGAGCACAGCATCAACATTGTTTCCAACCCAAGTTTGCTGCAAGACAACACGCACACACACACACACACATTTATGGTTCACAGGTATGACACTCAAAACTCGAATCTGCATGCGCCAGCAATAAGATCAACACCTGGTAGCCAACCGATGTAACTTAAGCGCATCTGTACACTTCCATCGACCCTGTTGCTAAGCACAAACGTAAACAAGGAATTTATTTATCAAGCTCATGTCCAGACCCTTTTTCCCCTCTCGCATTGCATTGAAGTGGGGTATTGTCAACTACAGCAATTTCAGGGCTTGTCAGGCATGCTGGCAGCGGTAGCTTGTCATACAATCGGTTGATGGTTCAAACTTCCGTGATCGCATCCCTCGGCCACTCGTGACGTGGAGATTTACTACCGTTCCCAGGAAGGCTTCACCATCAAGCCCTGAACTTGAGGGCTTCCAGAGGCTATTGAGACAGGGAACAATGTAGATTCCTACCTCAAGCACATGAGACCAGCTTGTGGACATGACGGCTTGCGGTCTCGGATCAAATCCCCAGCCGCATCGTATCTTAGTCCGAATGTGGCTGAAGGAAGATTAGGCTGGCACTTTCTTGATCCGCAATGCGAAATCCCTCACCACACTTGCTGCAGAAGCGGTGGCGTGAAAGGTGGAGGTTTGCATGCTCTCAAGCGAGGCACCGACGCCAGCAAGGTTGAGAACCCAAGCCGGCAAAGGCCCCACTCCGATGAGTTGACAGAAAGCGTCGCAAAAATGGCAGCAGTTTCGCCGCAATATCTGGTAGCTATTCATGGGCCATTCGTCCATCATGCCACGAATAATTTCGAGAATCTGCACATGAGAATGGCTAGTGTGCCCCATTGCAACACTTTCTCGGTAAGAATGCTGCCTGCAACCCTGCGGCCGGCAGCTCCATATCCCAGTTTCGAACCCCTCTTCAATCGGATCGTCAATGCTCAAGCCTCCGAAGCTCCATTCCTGTCCGTACACTTGTACGGCCGCATGGTATGCACCAGAACCCATGGGTTTCAGGAGTACATTCAGACGTTGGATGGCTTTGCTGTCTCCCAGGTCGTAGATATTCAACAGCACTGGCTCCAAATGCTCAAGTCTACCTCCCTGCCTGTCGCAAGAAGTCACATAGTCCTTGTCAGTTGAGTCACCGAAGGCGAGGGGACCAACATGTAGCATGTCCTCCGCAGTTCGAAAGATGTGGCTTCCTCGGCCGTGTATTGACAAGCGCGTGCCCGAAGCTTGAGGCTGCTGATGGCCAGCTACCCCGTCCAGGTCGACCCAAGTGAAGTCAATCTGACGCCGGCGGAGAAGGTATGGCTCTCTGCGCTGTGCAGGGCATTCCTTCTCCTGATCTGTTGGTGCTTCACTGTGAGGCATCGAGCTCCCAGAGAGGCAAGAGGTCACTGCTGGCAACCGCCTGTCAGCGTATGATGTTGCTCTGTTGGCCCGGCCTCCTTGAGTCTCGTGTCTCGTTTCATTTAATTGCTCAGCGACTTTCGAGGGCTCCGCATTCGCAGTCGGCAGGCGCCGCTTCAGGTACTTCGATGTGGCATTCTGGACCGGCTCCGGCTCCATTACCGCTCCATGCGCACGCGGCTGTACTATGGGAACAGGGCTGTCATGGGCAGGGCCTGGAAAAGGCCTGCCACTTCTGCCAAGAAGCACTGTCGAAATGATAGGAGCTACTTTGCTGGTGCTGGGGTCATCGTAGGCGGTAGGCCTAAGCTTGCATCGCTCGGTCTTTGTGTGTGAGGAGTGCAAGAGCGGGCTGCCAAACTGACTTGCCGCAGGACCTTGCCAGCTGCATTTAGTCAATGAGTCCAGCATTACAGCAAGGAACACGTCAGAAGTTCGAGGTCGTGCGACTGAACATCACAGCTGGGTGACAGTGTCCGCAACTGTCCCTGACGAATGTTCTGCAGTGGTTGATAATCTTCGTTACGCAACTTCTGAACAACTGTCGCTTAATTGAGTCCAGCTTGCTCAACGAGAATGAAAAGCTGCCTTTCGTGGTAAAGGAACGGAGCTCAAACGAAAAGATTGTCACATCGGCTATAGCAGCTGATCCGTTTTGCATGACAAGCACTTCGGAAGTCGCTTTGAATTCGAGTCTCCCCAAACAGGAGGGGCAAATGGCAAGTCTATGTAACAGCTCGGAAGAGGCCAAGAACGGTCAGTTGAACATCTTGCCTTCGCACAGAAATGCTTCGTCACGGGGCGTCAGAGTTGCAGCTTCGTTTCTGCAGCCTCATCTACCTCCGATGCATGTTGTGGGCTCAGCTTGGCAGATTGTGGGCTAGTTTGTCCCGGCTCAGTCTCCGTGTCGAGAGCTGCCGGTGGCCTCAGCTTCTGTCTACATGAAGCGGATCATCGCCGGGTGCAGAACATGCTACGATCCGCCCGGTCACGGAAGCGCGGGCTTGTCGTAGAACCAGGCGATGAGGGAACAAACGAACACAATGGCAGCGATTCCTCACAGGGAGGTTCCACCAAACGACGATCCGGTGCACAACGTCAGCAGCTTGAACAGCCCCGTGACGGCTCTTACAAGTCCTAGCTGTGCCAGCAGCGGAAGCAAGAAGTGCCCATCCATGTCCCGCAAGACAAGCTCCAAGAGTGGATTCTGCAGGAAGGACACTAGGCCAGCCAGAACGTTCGCCTGGGTTGTCGCCAGATCGAAATCTCTTTGCATCCTACGTGAATTCATGCATCGTAGAAGCCATTCCAGCCAGTGTCGCAAACAATTCGGCCGGATATTCCTGAGTCAATCGAAATCCCAGTGCTTCTTGCGGGTTAACCCTCTCTAGGAACGCAACTCGTGCCGCGGATCGGAAATCATGAACGTGAAGAACGTCGAGAAGAACAGCTGACGGTGGCAAGCCGACACAATGTAAAGGATCGGCAAGAGCCACCTCGACTTCTCGTCCCCACTCAATCAGGTGGTGAACGGACACATACAGCCGGGCTTCTAGTGCTTCCAACCACAAAAACTTGTATCGATCCGAGCGGCGGTTCGCTAAAGGGCCGGACAGCGAGAAAAAGAACGGCAAGGCCGGCTGTAGCGCAGAAAGGAGCACGCCGGTGCCCGAATCGTGCCACCAGCCATCCAAAGACAGGGATAGAAATGAAACCAGCCCCTGCTTGCAAGAAATTGAACATGGCCAGCTCATGATCGATGTCGAGCCCGGGTCTCGAAGCACCGAGCAGCTCCTCGTGCTTCCAACGTAGCTCAGCCGCCATCCACCCCATCAAACATCGATTCAGACCGAGCTGGGTGAAGTGGAAAGTGAGGAACCCGACAAACTTGTAGGTCCTCGCCTTCTTTTCAGCGTTCGGTGAAGCTGCCACACCGTTACATGCCCGATGCCAGTGGAGCAGCTGCAGTCAAGCATCAATGCCCAGCGCTGAGACGCAGCGCTCCCGAACAGTAAGACTCTTGGCGGCGATTCCCTGCCTTAGGTCGATCGAAGAAGCACACTCTTGGGGTTTTGATGGCTGCAGGCTCTGTCTGTCTGTCTCTGTGTGTGTGTGTGTGTTTGTGTGTGTGTGTGTGTGCGTGCGTGTCTTCGGGTGCGCGGGCGTGTGGTGGTGCGGCATGAGTTATTGATGCCGACGGTGACTTGGGCCCGTTTGTTGAGGGACTTCACAGGGCTGCCGGATCCTTCCAAGCTGCTTAAGCAACTGTTTCACTGCACTGGAGTTGTCCCAAAATGGCGGCAAACAGGACCCATTCAAACAGAAACTGCTTCACCGCCTGCAAGCACCTCCTGTAATCCGAGGTGCTCCATTCCCCCGCTTGACTTGATCCGGCATCGCTCGAAGGTCAATCGCGTTCCTTCCATCTTCGGTCTTCGAATGAATCGTCACACGTACGCACATGGCATGCCCCGCAGTTGCAGTTCATCGTATGCTGGAAGATGTGTCTAGCCAGATACCGGTGACAGTATCAGAATTAACACCTTGAGCCTTGGACCCGAAGCCTCGTGCCGAGACTAGACTTGCAGTAGCCTGCAGAGTCAAAACAAGTTCACTCGTCAGAACAGGATCTCTCTACCTCGGCCGAGGCTTGGCAACATGACTCATGATACCTTCCGGTGGCATTCGGTCATAAAGTCACAAAGCTGTCCCGACTGTCTTCGTGCAGCAACGGGCAAGGCAACAAGGCGAGAGGCCTGGTTTCAGTGCTGAATCTGGCCACAGCCATCCAGAAAAGCACCTCAGGGTTGGGCAAGACATATGGGAGGCCTTCCTAGGCTTTGACCTTGAAGAACAGCCAAGCCAAGTCCGACTCTGCATCCCCAAGTCCCCAAGCTCTCCACACCAAGGTGCATGTTGAGAGCCTCGAGGCTGACATGGATCAGCGATACGACTCGAAGTGTCAGCCCAGCCCGGTAGGCCAGGTCGAAGACTGCAACAGCATTTGGCAAATTAGCTCGCATAAGCCAGAAGCTCCCAAAGCACCTCAAGCCTAGATTCCTAGATCGGTCCCTGCATCCCCCCTTGAAGCAGCATGTTGCGTGTTAGTGGTCTGGGCACGTCCTTGCGGCTGTGACCTTGATACCTCTCCTTCGTTCTCAATTCAAAGGTCTGCAAACACGTCTTCACCAGCTGCTCTTTCCTTAAGGCCTTCAGGGGTCCAACTGCGGCTCAACCTTCTGATGGCCACGGCCTTGAAACGCCAGCGCCGAGATCGAAAACGTTGCCACAAAGCAGGAGATGACCACGCCCTTGGCCTTTCCAAAAGCGTTGCCCAAAGAGAAGCCTCAGCAGAACAGCAACTTCATACTTCCACTGTTGAGCATTAGCATTTTCCGAGATGCTGGAGAGGTGGACGCAGCAGCCACCAAGTCCGTAGAAGACGTAGGCGGCGGGCCAGGCCCAGTCGTTCTCTACGTCTGCCAAGCCCAAACAGAGGCTCCCCGCGATGATCAGGATCAAGCCCGTGAGGATGCCCTGCGGAAGTCGCATACACATGCGTAGATGCATACATGGACATAGACGTACATTAATAAAACGTCAAAACATATTGCGTGCCAGCACAGACCTCAAAAAGTGCAAAGCACCCAAAGGAGGGATTTTGAGGAGTCAAAAACAGCACAGCCAACAGGGCCACAATATGCCGCAATATTCACGGCAATGTGACGGGAGCACGATTTCGTGAGGCAGGCACGTGGGGGATAGTGGCAGGCAGAAGATGTGCAACCCAAGGAGCAAACCCTACGGTTCAGAGCAGCGGGAGTTCGAGTTTATATGCTAATCGACTAACCGATGTATGCCCAGGGACGGAAGAAAGCAGCATGGGCGAGTGGCTAGCCCAGGTCCGCTCTCCTATGTGATCCGCAGAAGGCTTGTATTCATGCACACTGGGCAGATTCAACCCGACTGAAGAGCAAAGAAGTGGTACTCACATGTTGAGCAGAGAGCCAAAGTCCAAATTATCGTCTGCTGTTCACTCGAGAGGCTGTGCTGTAAAGACTTTCCACTCTATCAATGCGAGAGGCCTGTGAACGCAACTGCATTTCCATAGTCTGTCAACTTCTCTTCAATAGGGAAAGCTGTGCTTAGCAAGTGCGCCATCCTGCAAGTAGCCGGTAAGAACTTTGCATTTGCAAGGCATAAGCTGCTTAATCTCGTCTGAACAGGTTGAGCGGGGTGTGGAAATCGTTGCTTCGTAGGTAACCATCGATCGTGCGGTCGACAGTGTGTTCAATGACACGAGCTTTCCGGCTACGCCCATTCTGATTTGTGAAACATGGGCAGTTGCTTCACAGATATGAACCGCATGCACAGTAAGATAAGCCAGCTTCATTTGCTTCAAGATGTCAGGCATTGACATGCTGTTCAGCTCCATGTTCCCAGCAGTTGTCTGGAATTGGTTGTCTTCATGCTGGGTCCACTATGGCCTAAAGGCAGTCAAGTCGAAGATAGCAACGGTGAGCCGCGGTTGTTCGCTAAAAAGCACATCCTTTTTTGGGCAAGCATTCGCCACGAGCGTTGTATGCTTGAAAGAACTGGGATAGTTTGTCGCAAGATCTGCTAACTTTGCCCGTAAAACTCGTAGTACATCATGCCGACTTCGATGTGCCATGTCCCGTCACATTTATTTTCATGAGCATGGTGTAGCGGACACACCACGATGCCGTACGTGCGCAATAGCGAAAAGGCATCATGTGCCAAATGTCATGTTTCAGGCATGCTTGTCTTGTCTTGCGCGGCCTTGCGCGGTCCGATGGAGTCGACAAGGAATCCGCAGGCCATGCCACCAGAGACGTTCACCATCGCGCCGATGCTAAAAACAAGGTTGAAGGCCAGAGTGCGCTCAGGACAACTCTCTGCATAATTATCACAGCGGTGTCTATACACATTCTCGCTGGTCAGAAGTGAGAGGAGCGATGGCCATCCGTAGACAATGCCAGTGCCTTAGCAGGACCCGCCAGCACAAATTGGCCCCTTCTTTCAGATTCGTCTGGCCTGTCCCAGGCTGGCTGAGAATCCGGCTCAGAAAACTTTGGTAGAGAGTAAAACCCAGAAGTACAAAGGCCGCTGCGCCAGCAGAGGTAAGGCTGGGCGCCATGATGTAGGAATTCCAGCTGCCGTCGAGAGATTTTCTGGCTTGTCGACTACAATACACTGCGGAGAAGGTTTTTGCTGGCAATTGAAGCCCAGCCCTACATGGCCCTACATCGCCAAGACTAGTTCACTGGAAGCATCTGGAAACTATGCCTTGAGAAGCAGGATATGCAGGCAGGAGGAACCTCTGCAAACACGCCTTCCAGAATTCTCGCATGCTCTAAAGGCCCAACCAGGAGTCTTGTGCTGAAGCGCGATCGTCGCTTGCCGCAGAAGTCGTCTTTCAGGGTGAAACTCCAGGAAGCAACAACGCATGATCCGGAACTTAGGGCTCCATACCATGTTGCTAGCCTTCAGATGGAGACAGTGCCGGCGTGGCTACTCAGCATGATGCCTGCAACAGTAGCTCGTGTCGTGTCAGACCCGACTCGCAGTCTGTTGACCCCCATCAAACGTATCGGGGAGCTCTCTACCGGAAGCTGAAGATGTGGCGATGCCTCCATGCCACAAAAGCAGCCTTGGGGAGCTTACATGCTGGCACTTGAGAGGAACCTCTGAAGGATTCTTTTTCGATTTGCTTGATGTGCTTATTGGAATCGGGGTGCGTAACACGTCCGTCTACCGACTGAGCATCTCGCCGCAGCAAGGGCTGCGAGTGCCGCCCCCAACCTCGATACCGTGCCGGTGGATGCTTCGAGTGGCGGGCTATTTGCTTCTGGGGCCCGAGCTGTCTGCATGCCACCGGTGAATTCCGTTCTTTCGAAGGAGTTTGGTACACTGCCTTCATCGCTCGAAGTCATCGCATTTCCAACCCTTCACAGCAAACCCACTCCAAGCTGCCTCTTCAGCACCGCCGTTCTTCGGAACTGCGTCCTGAGAAGCTCCCTCCAGCTTCACGACTTGGCATAACCGATGTTGTCACAGTATCAACCGGCCTGCAGATTGGTCGCAGCACCGAGCTTGCACTGGGCAGCGGCTTCCTATCAGGTGCTGCTACTGCAGGGGGCACCCGTCAAAGATGTAACGAATTGTTCAAGTCTGTTAAAGTTGGGCTTTCGTACAAGATTGCATGCTTTTTCTTGCAAGACCAGACTGTCAAGGAAGTTGGCCGTCCTGTGGTCCCGGGACTTCCTCGGAGGAGCCTCGCAAAAACCCACCGGGAGAGCCCAGATTTCCAGGAACAATTCATGTTGGAAGCACAAGCCATGGCGACACGGCGCTCCCAAACTTGGCATGCACAGAAAGGTGGACACAATGGAACCAGTAAGACTTAGTAAGAGCTCAAGGTCAACTCAGTGAGGCATCTGTGAAGTTTGCAGCAGTTCAATGTGAACTTGTCACTGGTGTCCGAAGCAGCGAGCACCAATTTTCTAACCTTATTCAGATAGAAGCTTCATTGGAAGGTAGCATTAGCTGATTGAGATGATGGAAAAGATTCACAGGAAGTCAAAAGCACTGCAATCGAAGCGATGTAGTGTGGTGTCGCACGCACTAGCATTGAACAAGCCATGAATCAGATTGCCATTTGCAACGAAGATGCTGAGCATGTGGTAGGAATAAACAGGAGTTTACCTGGCAAGCTCAAAAAAAGGAACACTGAACAACCAACGGTAGCAAGTTACAAGAGTTTAGTGGCTTCCAAAGCGAAGCGTTTTTCAACATCATCGAGTTCTGTCATGAGCAGACTCGGAATCGGCTGAGAATATGCTGGCATGTACCATGTACAACTTGGTTCGGAGATGTTTGGATCTTCATCGAGAAGTCATGGATCCTGTGGTGATTTTGGAAAGAATGTGTAACTACGTCAAAAACTCCCTCCTATAGTCCTTGAACTTTGGATTGCGATTCAGTATAGGTATCTCTGGTGCGCAACTAAGACGTACTCACGCAACCAGGCTTGTGTACGCCTGAGGGATCCTGGGGGCCCAGCTGTCTGCACAACTCGAGCATGCATCCTGGGCTGTGGAGAAACACTTTTGGCATTCTCAGCATGACCGCATGGCTGTGCAGGTTCTGTGAGCTGCTTCTGCGCCCGAGCTGCGCTTTGGTCAGGTATGTTCGTCTCTTTCATCTTCTCATCCTGACGACCGAAAGTGGAATGTTGGCCGGTCTGCTTCGCCGGAGTAGCATCCATCAGCGGGTAAGAGAGGCAGATAGATTTCACCTCGTCCTTGGAGACTCCCCATATACATTCTTCAACTGAAGTCCACTGTAGAGAAAGGGGTTGCCCGTGAAAGCCTTAACCATCCAACGATTGCTGCACCCCGACAGTCCAATGATAAACTCAGTTCTTGCACACGGCCTCTTCCATCGCACCGGCGAGGTTGCTATTTTCCTTTAGACGCGGTTGCACCTCGAAGGCTTTACCACAGGCATCCACAGGCGAAACAGCCACATCTGAATCTCAGTTTATCCTGATGCCTCTGCAGTAACCAAGTGCTCAGGTGCACCCGTGCCACATCATCCGATTATGCTGCATCCCCGTGACTGAGACCCCGGCTGCCCCAGGCATGGTCTCTGCGATCGGACCGCCGCACCTGTCACAATCGGGTGGGCTTCGATGCGAACGCGCTAACGAAACTCACGAGGCTGCGGCACGAGGCCCCACGGACCACAGCACCCGTTGGCACAAACCTTGCTTGTTGTCATGTTTGGACTGCGCCAAAGTTGCAACCGTGCTTACGAACTTACAAACAGCTCTGCCCTAGCATGGCGCAGTTTCGGTGGACTCTAGCCCTTTCCTCGTCATCCGCAAATGTGCTGCAGCATTCTGAAGCCGAAGCCCATGTTGGCGAGCGCTTTAGCTCTGCCTCGCGCAGCAGTTTCCGCACCTCGGGGTCATTCGGCCTCGGCTGAGAAGAAGCTTCGCAGGCTTCCCCGCAAGCTCGCCTTTGCCGTTGCTACGAAGCTGCTGCAACCGGCCCTCTAGGATTCTGCAAGTTGAGCACCAAATTGCACATGTCCTGGCCCCACATGCCCCACCGCCCTTCGGACATTCATGACCGCGCTGGAGCAAAGACTGGCCGCCGGACCAAGCGCACACGCCAAGGTTTCCATGCTAAATGCCGTGTCATGCTGAAGCATGGTGTTGACGTCGAGGTACGAATCAGAACAACCCTCTGCATTTCACTACAAACCGTGAGCTGTCTGGCACGGTCTCGAAGATTTCGGGACACGCATGTCAGGAGGCTTCAACATGATCTGCACAAAACAGCCTGGTTCGCTACTGGACCAGCCCCAACACAGGCCCACTGAATGCTTCTCATATCTTCTCGTGACCAATCCAAGACGAAGACATGGCTTTCTGTGCTGCTGCCAGGCGATCTGACGCCGGACCTGGCTTGCCTGAAGAAAGGAGCAGGCTAGACTTGGCTAGACCACCTGCTCTTGGAGGCCGCTGTAGGAGTCAATAGCAGGCATGTCGCCCGTCAGAACGACTCTGAAACATCTCTAGGTCATGCCCTCCCACATCTCACCACTCCGGTATAGCTGAAAATTCCAGTTTCGACTTGTTAGTTGAGGTTCTGCAGCAGTTCTTCCGGCAGCTGCTTTAGGCTGGTCGACCGCTCATGTCCCCAAACCAACGGCTCAGAGGTGCAAGTGTGCACAACTGCCAAACTTCAAGACCCGCCAACTGATAGCTCGAACTCAGGAGACCAACATCTCGCCTGATCGTAGCAGAGCCGCACCCAAACGCATCAGGGCCTTTGTGCAGGTGAAGTGTAAACCGAAATCACGTCGCTGTCATGCAGCCTCGAGTAGTTGCCTTATCGCCCAAAGCGACGGTGCATCTCGGCGTTTCAGCCATTGAGTTTCTTGCCTTCGGTGCCTTCCCATCCATGGAGAGAGCGGCATCTGCCCACTCAATGGCCTCGACACGACACCATCCTGCAAGAATAAAGGCGCGAAGCTTGGACGCCCCGCCTCCTTGTACAAACTGCGCTTGAGGCAAACAGCTGCAAGGTTCTGCGCCTAGACAGAGTCAAGAACAGCGTCGCTTCCAACACAGTGAACACCTAACAGCTGCAGCGATTGTGCCATCAAGGACAAGAGCTGCGCACCTTCTACACTGATATGCTCTGACTAGCATGACTCATGTTGTCCTTAGCAGATGGAGTCACTCAGCATCTGGCGATGGTGAAACGAAGGTCAAACAGCTCGTCGCCTCGGCTGGCAGCTGGCAACAAGGCAGTCGGGGCAAGTCGAGGCAAAGTTAGGAGCCTGAGGGCCTGGCCCACCGGTCGCAGTCCATTCGCCTGGGCGAAGGACAGGTCCCAACTCACTTCCACACTATCGATTTCTGAGCCCTCAGCTGCGAAGCCTAAGCTCGGCAAATCACTGTGACACAGATCGGTCCGGTGCCCGTGTAGACAAATGCTGCCGCCATTGAAACCAAAGTGCGCTTTAACTCGCCGCCGGGTTCTCCGGCCTAAGCTTGGCAAAGCGCAAACGAGCCCAGATGTTAAAAAGTCGCCATATCTGACGCCACGGCCCAGATTGCCTGATCAGTTCCCAGGTCCTCACTGCGTTGGCGTGCCAGGCTTACGACTTAAAGCCACATCTGTGCTTGCAAGCTCGTGATCCACAGTGGCTCTGAAAGGGTACACCGGTCATAACAAAACACTTCATCTTATCTCTCCCTGGATTGAACGTGACTTAATCTAATCTGGCCTTCAAGAAATACTCGTCGAACATCGTAAATGAGCTCATCACCTTAGCACCCGCCGGAAACTGCAGGAATCGGCCAGTTCGCCAATGGACAAGCTTGCCGCAAACGACCTTTGAGAGCCACGCCAAAGCGAAGCCATGTTTGCTGTAGCGAACACACCTCAAGAGAATCGTGAAGCTGTAAGCCACCTCAACGGATGCCACAAGGGTCCTCTAGCTTCTCCCAAGCTGCTGGCGTACCAGTCTCATGTGTTTTGGGGACTGCACACAAGGCGGCGTCCTTGGATGACAAAGCCTGTCTGTTCTTGCCACACTCCTTTACTGAGGGCATGAAAGCAGGAGCTCGGAGCTGCGTTCATGGCGTGAGTAGCATAGCCATGCGAAGCTCTCAAGCAGTGCAGTGCTGACCATGCCAAGCAAGAATAGCAACATGCCAGACAGTGGTAACTGAGCAGTCGGCCCAGTGGTCGAGTGCATTCATCTGCACATTCGGCTTTGGATTGGACGCTTTCCATGCCAGAGTATTCAAAACTCTTTGTGATAGTTCCCTCCATAGTGCGCTCATCTCGTCCCTCTGCATTTCATGCGGTGCACTGCATGTTTTGTAAAAGCGCACCAACCAGCCTTCGGCTCTGATGTGCGAAAGGACTCCCAACTTTCTGCAACTCGCAGATTTATCAAAACCCGACATAAAGCCAGGAATATGTTACCATTTTGTTGCTAGTTGGCTTTGCACGGCAAAGCTGGCCAATGCTTGACAAATCCAGCTGTGCAGCAACCGTGACAGCCACGTTTGCTGTGGAAGAAAGGTGCATCAGTTGTAGGTAGCACAGTCGTTTAAGCTGACGGCGTTGTCACGATAAAACACTGCGTGGCGGAAGTCCGGGTGCGATCTTGCAGGAAATGATGAAAGGCTGCGAGAGAAACCCTCCCGAGGCTGCTTGGCCTGCTTGCACTTGCACTGGTCCACCTCCACCAGGTCTCCAGCTCCCTCGTCATCACTCTGCATCATCGGTACATACATGGACCGCGGCTGGCGGATGCAAAAATGACGAGACGCGGCATGCACACCGTCTGCGAATCTCAAGCCCCATCGTCTTAGTATCCGAGATGTTGGTGCCACCCGGGATTTCGCAGAACACCCTCGACTCCAGGCGGTAGAAAATCTACCGACGGTTTGTTGTAAAACGGCATGTTCTGCACGCGGCCGAGAGCTTCACAGATTCACAGGTTGCATCCACTCCGGCAGGTAGATAGACACTCACGCCCAATGGGTGCTTTTGGGCATCGATCTCCGCCGTTGCGGCAGGCCAAAACCTCCTCTTGTGAGCCCAGGCATAGGGAATCTCAGTGCACAGAATCGCGCCGGCTTGCCCACCGGCTGTGCGTTGCCGCCTCGTGCCGGCACAACTGGCAAAAGCCGGTGGAGAACCGGCAAAGAACTTCCGTTTCACTGGACATTCGTGTTGGCTACGCGGCTGCATAGAAACAGAAACATTACAGGAACCTGGAAGTCTTTTAGACACATCGTGCAGCGTTGACATGGCCTTTGGTCGTGGGTAGACCGGCAGTGCCAACGGCAATGCCTGTCCTTCTGCTGATGTCTCTCGGATGGTGTCCTCAACTGTGCTATCGCAATCCACCGCCATAACTTGCGAGCCGGCAGTTTGAACCAAAGTTGCGTCCTGAAGCTCTAAAGAAGCTGCTGAACCAGACAATAGTAGCAAACAAGCTCGCTGGGCAGACGTAGTGTTCCCAAGCACTTTCAAGTTCGCCGTTTGCCTGGCGAGCATGGGGAGTTTGATGTTAGTCACTGCTCTAGGTTTGCTGTTCACGAGCCGATTTCAGCACGTGCCAGGATGGCGTAAGCGGCATTGCCTCGTTCAGCAGGCTGTTTGATGCAGCTCAGTAGATGCCAGGTTTTCTGACTAAAAAACGACGCCTGAGGTCGACACCTGCAGCTTTCGCTTTGGCACAAGCATCGATTTCTACCTTCGAGCGGAATTGTTCTCCGATTGCATGGAAGTCCGAGGCACAAGTTCACCGATGAGAATTCCGTTTGAATTCTATTGATGCTTGCTCGGCCTGGTTTTCCCCGGCAGGGTTCAGAGCCATGATCCTAGGACCAGCTCCGGGGGCACATTGAGCCCATATGAGCCCATGCCAGCGCATTCCCACATCGCAAGAGGCACTTCGTGCTCTCGGCTGCTAGTGGTCAGGGCCACACCTTACCGTGAGAATTCTTTTCACTGCCTTGCTTTGAAACACCACTCACTGTTATGCCCAGGGGTCAGATGTCCGCAGCCATGGAGAGAAGCCGGCCTCTTGTCGTGCTTTGAGTCTCTTTGGATTAAATGCTTTTCGCTTTAGATCGTGCATACTTCGGCGGCCTTGCGCAGACCAACCTCACAGCTCCCCCGAAACCTAAACCCTCAAATACACCAGTGCAACTCCCCAAGGGCCGAGTTTAGCCTACCCAGCAACTCATCACCAAGCACACTGGCTCATGAAGCAGAACAGCCCCTCATCCTAAAACACAACATGGAAGCAGCCAGCAAGACCACCCCAGAATCAAAGCTGGCCCTGACTCAATGATACTACACCAACGGTTGCTGCCGTGTGCAGCAAGCAGGCAAGCATCATCATCGCAGCTACTGCTGGGACGAGCGCGTAATTTCGTTTGCGAATCGCCGAAACAGGCTAAGGGCCGACAATGCACCAGCAGCATCCAAGAGGGAACGCAGTTTCTGGGCAGTGAAACTGGTCCCACCTTCTCCCGCCGCTAAAACGAGGCATCTAGAGCGTGAGGGAGGCGCGTCGCGCAACCGTAAGCCGTTCGGCTCCTTTAACAGTGCAGCGGCCTCGGCCTCCACCTTGCCAGTAAAGTCAAATCTGTCAGGCCACTTCCGGTGCCTTGCAGACACCTCCGATTCACCCATTTTTTCGAGAATTGCTGCATGGTCAGACTCCGCGAAGTCGTACAGAGGTTTGGGGATCTTCTCCTCCCTGCAGGCCAAATCAACCAGAGCGCAGAAACAGGGCACCGTCGCCCGATTTACGGGATTCTCCTTGTCTGCCAGCTTCTGTAGAAGAGCGGTCAAAGGACTCACCACTGATTCGCCCAGATTGAACCACTGCCTTCTTTGTGAAAGCGTTCGGGGTTGCTTTCTTCCGGAGGAAACGCCGAAAGGGCTCGAAGCGTTTAGAAGCACTCATGCCATTGCAAGCCACCGGCCCGAACCAAACTTCTATTATGTTTTCCTGTGGTCCCGTTTTCAGTTTGCACAGGTTGCTTCGCTAAGTCGGCGAACAGTCACGGCTCGAGTCGTTGGTAGCCTGGTCGTGTGATTTTGGGATCCCTCGCTTCGGTACAGTTTGCCTTTCTCCATCTCTCTCTCACACCTACTCAGTCACCTGTCAGCCTCGACGCGGAACATAGCGATTTCGCTATGTGCGTTTACCTACAAAGGAATGCGAGAAGCAGAAGTGCCGAAGCTACAAGGACTTCACATGCATCGCCCAATCATCCCGAATTTGAGGTAGCGGTTGCAAGTCGTGCGTCGTGCATGTGCATAATCGATTGCATGAGCGGGCCATGTACTGATACGACAGCAGCGGGACATAGCAGCCGCACCACGAACAAGTCTCCATGATTCTCCATGTAGCATGAGAACAAACTGAGCCAAGACCGTATGCAATGCTCCACAGAAGGAAAATCAGCCAGATGTCTCACACAACCAATTAAACGATCGCGAGTCATCGAGACGATGATAAAGCAGAACTGCTCGGAACCAGGAAGTTGTTGCCAGGAAGGGATTCCTTCACCGCAACCACCTATTGCAGCCAATACAGGGGTGTTCCGAAAGATGCAGCCCATGCTCATGTAAGACCACAGGACAATCAAGGACAACTGCTGTTCCGTGTCAGGCTACAAACTGGTGAGAACTACTTGTTGAAACTGGGGTACGACAGCTGACAATCCCAAAAGCAAAGGCTGGTGGAAAAACCTGGAGAAAGACGGCTAAGCCCTGGACACAGGAGCAGGGTCACCATTGAGGCAGCATCGACGCCGACCACGGCTCCGGTGAGATCGACTCCCCCGTAGCCTCCGTGGGGCCGTCATAGCTTCATCAGGCGCAGGCATATGCACGTTGAGCTGAGTCGCCGAGCTCCCCTCTGGCTCCAGGGCCCCACCAGAACTCGCAGCCATCCGTGTAACACGGATGAGCACTGAGGCTCCCAAGTCGAAGACAATGCAGCGCGTCCTGAAGGCAACACGAAGTCTTGGATGGCCAGGGATATCATTTGGTGTTGCTTCTGCAGCATCTGTCGTCTTCGCTCAATTTGGTCTCACTGCCGTGTGAAGGAGTCTGTCGGAACCTTTGCATTAAAAGCCTGGGCAAGCCACCACGGAGAGAGACACAGAGAGACACCACTGTGTTGACTCCCACACTTCGCGGTGCAGGTGCAAAGGTGCAGGCTTGGAACTGCTTGTGGCAGGTCACTGCAAACATTCATCGAGAATGCACGGGAGCATTCGCAGGCCGTTGCTTGCTTGGATTTGCAATGTGCCAACAGGCTGGTACTATGTTCTTGGCAGCATCAGGGGAGACATGTTGTCGGGCCAACTTGAACCTGCTTGATCCTTGTGGCACGGCTAAGCCGTGCGACGAGATCGAAAAAGCTCCAGCTCTCTTCCTAGAGCTCCTCCTTAATTCAGGAAACTCATAAGATCTCAGAATATCTCAGAAAATCTGAGAATCTCCAGCTATGCCTTCCTTCAACGAACCGTTAAAAATGCGGGCGCTTGACAACCCACATTCCGGGTTGTCAGGCAAGAGTAACCACGGATGGGAATGTTGGACAGGATTCACAAGACCCAGTAGAAATACGACTTTGGTTTCTGACGATGCACTCCATGCCATGCGTCGCAAGCCTTTTGAGGCCAATGACCATCGCGCTGCGCCCTGAGCTTGCCACTTGCTGCCGTTTTCAAGTAGCTAGTCCATGTCGTTGTAAATGCTTGAAGTGTGAATGCAATGGCCGCCCTACTAAATGACATTGAGGTTGCCCCAGTTCCCAGAAGAGGTGTTGTCAGGTTGTGGCAGCAGGTCTCACGCAGTTCGTTGACGGGCCGCTGGCCGCTTTCTTGAGCTTGACAAAAGCTTAGTATGTGTGACTAAAAGAGCTTAGGCATGTATGTAGGCAACTTGAAGTACCAAGACTGAGGATCTCCTGTCGAGCCTGGCACAGGTGCACAGGCTGGCATACCACGTCGTCCACGTCCTTCCATAAAGTGCAAGATCTGCAAAAAAACGCCGTTTCGGCCGGCCTTTCAGGCCCCCCAAATTAACAAAATGCGATGGTTAAGGTACTGCAGGGGTATCTTCGAGTTAAAATTGGAGTGCGCGTCTTGGACGGTCGCACTCACACGCGCGAGACTTCCCAGCCAGGGGCGGAAGGTGGCGGCCTTGAAGCCTGTCAGGTCTATGGTTTTCAAGCAGATGTGCCAGTGATTTCAGTGTTTGTAGCGTGATGTCATGTTTGAGTTGCCTTTGGGCCCAGGATGCAGTTCATGTGCTTCCTCTCCACAAGAGAGCTGCCGGTCGGCGGTCGGGCTGACTTTCCCACTCAGGCTAGGCCCATGCAACACTCTGATAATGCAAGGCCTGCAGCATGAACTCGTAAAGCAACCCCTTTACGCACATCAACTCATTTCGCCTGCATTGTATCTCAAACCACCCGCCTTCTAAGGCGGGTTTTCTCGGATAAAGGCGGCAATGGTGGCCAAGGATTCCTCCCACAAGCTGGAGCATCCGCATGCAAGAGCACAACAGTGATAGGACTACGACTCCCTGCCGTCCTGGACCTGAGACATGGAGACCTGCAGATCTCTGACCTGGTGACTCATCGTGATCATCTGGCTCTTCACATCTTGGACCTGGGACTTTGTGATAACAAAAGTGAGGAAGGCATGGTCACGGTAGGTGCTTCCAGCCAGACCTCTGCCCCAAGCTCGGCAATTTGCTGAGCTCCTCCTTGCCAGGAATGCAGGGCAGGCCAAGGACGAAATCGTAGCCCAAAGGGGGTCTGCTAGCGACGGTTTCGGGTCCTCCCAGCTCTTCCACGTCGCAGGTGGCAGAGACCACTTCATTCTCCTTCCTGAAAAGCCGAAGCAAGCAGAAACTTGCAGGCCGAAAAGTGACGACATGTTCGCAAGTAAGGCCACCCTGATCTGGCTTCACGTTCCGTGCAGTGAAATCAAAGCATCTCTCCGCTGGACACTCACGAAAGCTTGGGTCGTGGCTCTTGCCTCTTGTGGAGCTTTTGGTAGCCTCATTCGAATGTTTCGTCTCGATTGAACAAATCTCAGCTTAGCTGTCCTGACCGTCAACCTCCTACGAGTAGACTCTTCGCCCTGTGGTGGCATTACTGCTGCTGCTGCCCCGACTGCTGCTAGCAAGGCACACGGCCACCGTGGTTGCCACTGCTACTAGTACCACAGCTTATACCAGACCACTGCCACCACTGCCACAACAACGGCACCTCTTCTCTCGTGGTGGTGCTGAAACTTCACATGTCCACTCTACTAGACTACAACTGACCTATCGCCAGAAGGCTCCGCTGGCTACAGCCACGATCAGCCTCCCAATTGATCACCGGCGACAACAGGAAGTGCACATTCAAAACAGCTTCATCGCAACAGGGGCGAGAAGTGGTACAGGGCCACTGTCAGTCGTGTCTGTTGAAGCTGGATCAATTGAGTCAAGTCATGAGGTCATCAATCGAAGACACTGTCAAAATCATTCATGGCCCGGGCGACGACACTACTGCTAGTATCCCGTCTGCTACTGCTGCTACTGCGTGCTGCTACACTACTTCTGCTACTACGGCTGCTGCTGCTACAATTGTAGCAGCAGCTGCTTGTAGTACTGGTGCTGGCACTGACACAAGAACTAGCACTCACTACCAGTACTACTACTACGACGACGACGACTACTACGACTACGACTACGACCACGACTACTAAGACTACTACTACTACTACTACCACCACCACCACCACCACCAACCAAAGCCATCGGTACTTCATGGACAGCACTGGCATGCCAGTCGCGTGTGATGATCTTAAGCGTCTTAAGCTGTTACTGCCAATTCGGCGCTTATGGCCGGGCAATGATATTTATGATGGTTTCTGTTGGTTGGCTCTTTTTAGATTCTAGCTTTTAGGCCGCAAAAATGCCAGGGAGCCCTTCCTCTTTTTCCACACGGCCACCACGGCCCGCTGGATCTCCAGGGTAGCCAATTCGTACAGGTCCAAAGACTTCGTGAGAAGCCTGGTTGCTTGGCTCGGACTGTGTTAATGTACCGTGAACATGGCCTCCACGGAAACTTGCATCACTCTCGGACTTGCCGTGTGTGTGTTTGGGCTTTGCCCGACTTCGTTGTCAGAGCTTCGAACAGAATTTGAACTACCTTTCCAAGTTTCCTGACGGATTGTCTGTCCCGCAAAATGAACGGAGGTCGCTCATCGGGTCTTCCGAATTGCAGCTTGGAGTCTGTATTTTCGCTCGGCGGCGAACTTCATGCCTGGTAGCCTCGAGGTGCCAGGCTCGCTGACCTGGATTCGGGGAGTTCTTTGTGATCTTTTTTGCCTTGACAGTCAAACTCGTGTGTGATCCCAAACCAAGTGTCATACCGAAGGCTGTTGGACGTCTCTACACTCCATGCCATGACCCTTCCAATGCATCTGGAGGTGCAGTGAGGGAAATCTGACATGAGCTGGTGAAGCTTGTCCTGACAGACTTTCGGATTCGTTGTCGAAGTGTGGCTTGGTAAAGGAACTCATTCACGGTCCTTGTGGAGCTGGAGCAAGGACCCACCGCGCTCCGACTCGCAGCGAACCGTCGCGTGCCGCTGGTGGGTGCTGAACTTGGACAGCACCTGCAAAAAGATAATGGAGCCGGACTGGACTGGAGGTACTGGCAACTTCTTCGCAAAACGCGCGTAGAGATCAGAAAACTTCTTGCTTGCCAAGACATCTGGGCATGATGCATGGTGTAACGGGCAAAGCTTACTGTAGCAGACGGCATGTCCCTCGTAACATGATCCATCTAACTCGGATCGAGGCTGGTGCCATGATCGAAGCGTTTGACGTCCTGCCCAACACCCGCAGAACAGCCTCCGTATCACCAAAATACGTGCCCTCGCCGAACAGCTGGTATGGGCACAGCCTGGAGGGTAGACTGTGCGGATTGCTCCAACTGGAGCTTCAAACTTGAACACAATGCCGCGCCTTTCTAGTTGCCGCTGCCAAAGTATGTTCTTCTCTTCAATGCGTCGTCCTTGTTGGCTTTCCATCTCTGAGAAGTAGGCAGGGCTTGCTTTGAACACTCAGACGTTTTCGCCTGATTCTGTACTCCCATCACACAACTGTGGCCTTCCTAGAAACTCCTTGAAAAGCCAGGAGGCTCAGGAATTCCTGCGTGGGAGCCTTCAGCCGCTCGCGGTGCTTCCTCTTGAGCTCATCTTCCTGGGTCTTTCTGGAGGGCTGCGCAGGGTCGGAATAAACAATGCATACCGCAACAAACGAGAAGCGGAGGCTGCTACTTAAGAGGCTGTGGTGTGTGCTTGTGTGACCTGCTTGCAGTCTGCAAGCGTTGCCAGATACTATTCAAACTTCGGAAGCATGGAAGCCAGGCAGCTATGGTCCGCAGCCAATCCAACTTCCTCGGCACAGCAAAGATAATGTGCACTTGACGTCGCTTTGGGAATCAGGACCGTCTTCAAGATAGAGATCTGCCGCGGTGATTCTTGGTGAGGCGAATGTTTCTTGGAATGCAGCACTTGTTTGTAGCGAACTTTGTTCAAGAACCCTTATTTCATTTTCGAATGCCTTCTTCCTGTGCAGAGTGTTATACGTCAGCAGAGCCTTTTGCAACGCACGAGGCAGTTCACTGCGGCTATGCATCGCCACTATGCATACAAGCAAGGTCGGTCTCTACATCGTGACAGCAGATTTCCCAGTAACAGTATCTTGACATTACTCCGAGATCGAGCAGATTGCACAATCTGCTTAAATCAGTCTTTCCCTTCTCCCATCCCCAACCTGCAACTCTGAAGGGCACAGGAGATTAGCATGCAGCTTTGGTTCTCGATGTGCCCGCCATCTGTTCCAGGCTTCGCGACTGCGGCAAATATGCCTCTCAATTCTGGGGCCTAGGCCTGGGACTCTAGCACGTTCCATGAGCATATCCTGAAGAAGATGCTCAGCTCGCAGGGGCAAGCTCTGATCGACTCGCGTATGACAAAGCTCTGAACATGCTGTTTTCTGAGAAAAGGCCTCGCGCCACCAAGAAGAGCCCGAAAGCCTGAGATCAAAATGAGCCCGAGCATGCACATGCTTATGCTACCTCTTTACTTCCGCACAGTTTCGCAGACCCTGCAAAGCACGGACAGCACGGACGGTGACATCGCATGCGCTGGCACAGAAAGCCCGGGCCTGATCGTAGCCTCAGATCCGGCATTGTAGTGATTGCAAAAGCCGACCGAGGCGAGTTGAGATTCTAGCTACAGGAAGGCCTGATCTGCATGTTCGGTCTGTAACTGGCCATTACTAGCCATGGCACAGTAGTAGACGATCTGGTGGTGCTCGAAGTCCTCGGTTGTGCGACCGAAGCGTCGTCTTAGCTGGCACACTCGGGCAGCGACTCAAAAATGCCGACGGAAGTCCTGGATATCCAGATTCAACGCCACAATCATGTGAAACTTCGGTGGCAGGACGTCGTTGAAGTATGGCCGGCAAACCGTAACAAACCTGTGGGACAGAAGCCGTGGCAATGTGAAGGCAATCGTTTTCACAACAGTATGTCAGGGACCTGTTCTTGAGCAGCTTCCCTGCAAACAGGGCCGCAGGCAGCTGCCGCACCTCAGGCAAATGAGCTTCCATGTTTTTCATTCTTTACCTGCGCTCTGGAGATATGGAGAATGTACAGGACCGCAGGCTGCCGTCGCAGGCTGAGCCGAGTGGTCCACGAGCTGGTTCGGCATCACCCCGTTCGTCAGCAGCTCACGCATCCACGCCTGGTGAGAGGATTGGCCCTATCAGTAGGGTGGGCCACGCGGAATGTCCTTCGCGCCAGCTCGAGCTTGATATTACTGAGCTTCTTGCTCTATCCCAGTCGTGCTTGTCAGCACGGCTCTCGCGTGCCCACCTGACCAGCCTGAGATAGTGCAAGTTATGCTGGATGGGACCAGGACGACAGGACAACTCTTTACGATTGCAGCTGAGCTCCGCTCCTTCGTTTTCTCTCATAGCTCCCCCCGTTTCGGGCTACGTCTGTGTCGAGGCAAGATCTTGCACAAAACCTGCGATGATCCTTTGGACCATGGTAGTCGCTGCTATTCAGGTAGTCTTTAGCTACACTGCATTCTTGCCTCAGTCGTCGTCACGATTGCCCTCGCCGCCGCCCTTGGGACCTCCTGCCTGCTTGGCCATGATGATTTGGTCTACTTTCAAGACCGTGAGCACGGCATCAAGGGTGAAGCGGATGGCCCACTTCTTAGTTTCGGAGTGGTCCAGGATGCCCCGCTCGGCGGCGTTGCAAACCAAGGTGCCCGAGTCGACGTCCACACCTGCGGTCTTCTCGCCCTTCTGGTGGGCCGCATAGAGTGCGGTGATCGCATCCACGTGGCTGTGCCCGGCATTCTCTGCCAAGATCTTTGGGACTACTTCAAGTGCTTCTGCAAACTTCAGGACGGCATACTGATCTAGTCCTGGCACAGTGGCACCGAACTGCTGTAGCTGGTGTGCAAGCTCTATCTCCGTTGCCCCTGCGCCTGCCACGAATCTGGGGTCTCGGCAGGTGCATCGCACTACGTTGACTGCATTGTCAACTGCCCTTTCCAATTCGTCTAAGACGTTGGGGCTCGCACTGCGCAGTACGACCGTTGCGATCTTGGAGTCTCTCGTTTTCATGATGGTGAACTTTTCGGAAGAGATCTCCTCCACTTTGATTGACTCCACATAACCGCACTCCTCTGGGAGCGGTGGTCCGGTTCGGATGACGGAAGTGGCACCCACAGTGCGGCAAATCCGGCGCAGCTCGAACTTGGAGGAGATCTTAAGGGCCATGATCTTGTACTTGTTCAAGAAATGCAAAGCCATGTCATTGATCGTTCCTCCCACGATGACCACCTCCACTCCAACCTCCTTGATGCCACGGATCAGCTCGTCCATCTTCAGTTCCTCACCCTTGCTGAAGTTCATGAGTTGCTCTGCACTCTCCAACAAGACGGTGCCCTTCGTCTCAGTTGAGCCCAGTTCGAGTGCTTCGGCATAGACAGCCACCTCTGACAGTTTACATGGGGGCGGGCGAGCTTTGGGGCTTTGATGGGCTTTGGGTTTGCTTCTCTGCCTGCCTTGGCTTTCTCTTTGAACTGCTCCACACCGCTGGTCCGTCGTGCGATGGCCATACCCTCCACGACAAATGAGCTGTTCAAGTTGCCCCCCTGCACTTTCGTCACACGGACATTGTCCACATCGAATTTGCTTGGCACAGGCGGCATGACCTGGGCACAAGCCTCAGCCACTAGCTTCGCCAGGGGACCTTCGCAGCCCAACTGCTTGGATGCGATGGCGGTTTTCACGCAGGTCGTTAGCTGGTCGACACTCTTCAGGTCAGTGCATTTCCAGCACACCTGCTCGCTCAGGAAGTCCAGCGCCTGTCCAGGATGTGTTGTGCCATGAGTTGAAACGTACCTACCAGCCCTGACAAGCAACTTTCTGCAGCACAGCTGCCTTGTCTCTAGCTAGCTCGTAGCCTTTGTAGACGTCGTTTGCGTGGATGCCCTCCTTGAGCAGTTCCTCAGCCCTTTGCAGCAGCTCGCCACCGAAACTGACGCAAAGGTTGGTGCCATCTCCGGATTCTTGCTCCTCGGTCACATGTGTGTTTAGCTTCTGCTTCTTTCTTCCACCAGGCCCAAGGGCCGAAAGCGGTTTCTCGCTCTCGCCTTCTCTCGCTTGAATTCGGGGACTCAGAAAGCAAACTCGAGCGGCTTCGGCACACATGATATTAGTTACGGTTTCTCGCTCTCCGCTTGCATGCTTTTGAAGACCGAGCCTGTGATTTGGCTGCCATGACAATCAGCTTTGCTGCCGGGTGCATGACCTCGAGCTCCGTCACGATTGTGTTTGTGTCGCTGGTTACGAAGTGCTTTCCCAGGTGGTTCACGATCAACTTGTTCATGCCGTATGGCCCGAGGGAACTCTTGGTGATCTGCGCCAAGTTCTTGCAGGCCTCGATGTTCTTCAGCAAGGCCTCATCAACCCCGGAGAAGTGCTTGCCACCATCTTTCAGCAAACTCTGGAGCCCGACCTGTTGATTGAACCTCAAGTCTTGCAGCGCAAGTTGGGGTGCATCCTGATGACACAGTGGCAAGTGACTGAACAACTACTTGCCAACCACGCCAAGGAGCATCGTCCCAGTTGGACGCCACGACCGGATGGAAGCTACAAAAGATTTGATCCATGCAGTCTCGAGGCACGAAATACTCTTGCAGCTTCATGACGGGCAAGTGCTGCTATAAGTTCGGGATGTCAAGAACTTCTGTCGTCAGTGTCTTTCAACGGCTCTAGTCTGCAAGCATTGCTTCTGGACGGGTGCAGGCCAAGCGGCTGTTTGCGCAAGGTCTTGCTGAGATTGCAGTGCTCTGCGAAATCCTGAACAACCTGTGTCGAAGGAATACGAAGCGGGGGGGACCGTACTTCATCTTACCTTGAACAGAGTGATTTGAAAGAGCAGGGCATGTTACACTACTGTAGCACAGCAGAAACACGGAAGCCAACGGCATAATGCCTTGCCGACACATTCAGCGCTGATTTCGCTGTTCCAACGAGTGTTTGGGTTTCGAGAAAATCTCATGAAGATTCTCCCGGCTTGCACACGATTCCAGCTTGGACGGTGCTGGAAGCTGCTTGGTTAGTGAACAAACCCTTCGGTTCTCGAATGGACACCGGACGGTTCGGGGGGATTGTGGCTTCCCTTGGCCATGCCACCTGAATCTGCTGCATCACGCGCGAGGCGCTCTCGTCCAGGCGGGTCAGTGTTCCGATGACTTCGTTCAGGATGATCTTGGTAGGAAGGGGAGGCGTGCACCAGTCTTCAATTTCCATTCATCATCCCGTGTGCTCTTACAGCCTCCCTTTGCCCAGGCACACTGTTCACAATGGCGCCCAAGAGCATTGTCCCACAAACATACCCCATTTCAGCTTGTGTATAAGCTGACATGTCCTTGGCTTCTTGCACAGCACAGCATGCAGTCATCAGCTGCACAGATAGAGTCTTCAGTCAACCTTCTGAACCGGCTTTGCGAAACCATGCTTTTGCGCAGACATGGTGCTCCAAACCCCACAGTAGTGAAGACGGTGAGGACGAAGTAGAAAGCATTGAGCCACTGAACCTTTCAAGATCATGCCATGTTAGACTATCTTGTAAGTAGTGTGATACTATAAGTACCTCACGATCTCTCTGCAAGGCCTCGGGGTCTTGTCGTGAGCCGTCGCTTTTGTAGAGGAGTGTGGAACCCTTGGAGTCGATGACGCGCATGCCCAGCCAGGTATCCTCCAGCCTGTCGCTCGCCGTTTGCCACATTCTGGGGTTGTGGGAGCTTACCTGCGCCCTAGGCTGCTATGCGAGGTCTTTGGGTACTGATCGAGAGCACTGTTGATTTGTTTGTCCTTCAATTCCCTTGGCTTTTCAAGCAAGTCTTCTCCACACCTTTGCGCCCAAGCGTCGTTGAGGAGCCGTTCAGTGCTGCGCAAAGGTACCAGCCGCAGCCAACCATGTGCGCAACCCAGGACTCAGCGGAACAAAGCAGCGTGCTGCTGCAAGCATATGCAAGGGGGCAGGCATAAGGCTTCCGAGGTGCCAGTGTGCAGAATAGATTGATAATCCTGGGCCGGTTATGGAGCTTTCATGGTCCATTTCATGGTCTTTCCCACAGGTGCTGTTGCTACTTTGCATAACAGCAGCCGCACACCCCGAAGGTTTCTCAGCTGCACCATAACGGGACCTTGGGGCAGCTTGCTCACCGAATGAGCCATGGCGTATCCCAACGAAATACATGGCGAAACATGGTGACATGACCTGTCTGTCAACGATTGAATTTCCTGCACGGCCAGGTCGCTATCATCCATGAATCTCAGGAGCTTCCTCAGACCGAGATGCTGGAGAGAGCTTATGGCAGCTTTGTCACCGATACCGGAGGAGCGGTGCACCAGCTTCCACAGCTTCCGGAACTTCATTCTTCACGTGGCTCCGTGTTCGTTACAGCAAACCCTACAGGTTATGCTCCATGATCCGCCAGCAAGCGGTAACACCGCATCCAAAGCCCAGGCTCGAAAGGTGTACGAGGCGTACTAGCCGTGCCAGACGGGAGATCCGCTGCAAACGGCTGAAACGCGCCACCTCGTGGGTTCTTGCATTCGGGCAGGATTCCTGAAAGGGCTGCGTTCCCTAGAGGCCTTCCATCAACTTTGCAAGCTGCACTGGCTTTCGGCTTGCTCTCCCTTACTGCCCGTTGCCTCCAATATGTCACCACGCCTTGGATCTGAAACGACTGGACTTGTCGAGTGCAGCTGCGTTACACAGCACACGTGCAGCTTTTGATTTTCACTGCGGGTAAACTCCAGCCCCGTTGATTTCACTTACTGGTAGCAGGCCGCCTAGACATCTGGTTCAGATAAGGCACACATCTGATTCGAACATCGCTTCTATGAGCTGCGGCGGGATGCAAGCCACCAAATTCGGCCAAAAGTACGTCCTGCCACGACCATTAGCAAGGCTTCAGCAACTAGGTTGTTGTAGCGAAGTTTTGCTTGTTCTCGACGCATCAGTGCAGCACCGAGTCCATCGCGTGCTCTTTGCCCGGCGGTCCTGAAGTAGTACCAAGAGGTTTTCCTCAGATCCACCACTTCGACTCCCTGCACAGGGACACTTCGTTCCGGAGTACGTAGCTGCGGCTCACAGAGCTCTCTGTTTCGGTCAAGTCAAGAGATAGGACCAAGCTCTACATTTGTAGGTTTTTGATACCCCCAACACCACCCATGTGTCTGAATGTCATCTTGCTGAGGTAGAGAGTGCAGCCACCGCTTCAACAGAGCCCACTCTGAACCCAAGTGCACCAGACAAAGTAAGAAGCGCAGAGCTCGAAAGAAGCACACGCGCCTTCGCATCCCGATAGCTTATGAAGAAGTTCAGGATAAGGTCGAGGTAAAAGAGGCCTAGGGAGCCAGTGACCAAGGCTCAGCGGACTGAGACCAAGAAAGAGTCGTAAAGCGTCTAGAGCTTGCCGTGCTTGCTGGATGGCGAGTGCAGCTTGGCGGCAGTTGACTAAAAAGTCGACTGGGCGATCAAAGAGCTCCTGCTAGCAGGTCAGGGTTCAGCGTGTCATGCCATTCCCTGTGTCTTGGCTGATCATGAACCCTGTCCATCAATGGAATAGAACAGAACAAAAAGGCACCCTACTTTATGCTTCTGCCAGAGCTGAAAGTTCAAGCCTCCACCTTGGTGATTTCGATGGGGACACGAAGGTCGATGAAGCAAAGCCTGTGCATCCATCTAAAGAAGAGCACACACCGCCTAAGCATTGCATGTTCCGCAGGTCTCCAGGAAGTGTGAGATCTTACAAGCGTGCAACACCCTTGCAGGCTGGGAGCTGGAAAGGAAAGTACGTCGCGGTATAAAGCAACCTCGTGGAGACTTTCAACTGGCGAGCTGCGGTTCCATCGCAAAACCCACACAGAGACTGGATTGCGGCCATGCAGCAGAAAGAGAACCTGGGCTCCGAAGTCGGGCACACGTGCGGCGGAATGACATACTCACTAAAGGAACACGTTAAATGGAGCTTCAAGTTGCGACAACATTCCACACTCGTCTGACCTTCGAGTCTTCGACGATCACCAGCCATCTGCAGCATCCAGCCGAAACGGCATCTTAGTTGCACAGGTGAGAGATGGTGAGAGAACACGGGCTTTCCCAGCATTTAGGACTCGAGGGTCTCGCACAACATATCTTCAGACAAAAACCTTGCTGCAACACCATATAGCCGAAAAGCTGCTCGGTCTTCCATGCCCAAATTCTGCACACTTGCGTGCATTATCAGCTACACGATCTGCTGCTGCATCCCTTATTCTTAGTCTTACAAGTTCTGTAAGTAGCCCTAGGCCTGGGCATAGGCATGTGTGTATACGTTGTTATAATCTCGCCGAAGGTCCAGTGTGAAAGCTTGGCACTGTGGCGTAGGAAGCGATGTAGGTCTCCAGATCGTTGCCATCGAAGGTGCTCCGTTCCGTCTCGGTTGGTCGCAGTGTTGCCTACTACTTACGTTTCAGGGTCCGCATGGCTCCGCGATCCGCGGATGTGCATCGCCGTCCCCGCTTAGAGCCCAAGGTCGGGGCCGTTTCAATGTCGCTGGGAAGCTTGAGAGCAAATTTGGAGTTTGGCTCATGCTTCTCCGGATCTGAAGTGGTCGTGTTACCTCAGCCGAAAGAAACAACACCGCCGCAAGTTCTGGCATGAGCACACTACATGTAAGGCTAGGCACCAACTCCTTCTTCTGCATTCATGGGCCATGGAAGAAAGGGAATCGGCCGACGCAGTGCCACCACCCAAGAATCTACCGGGCTCGCCTCATAATGTGCCCACGTACATAGCTGTAACTTGCATGTTCTATTGGCAAAGGCTTTCAGTGCTCCTTTTCGTTGTGTATCTCAACTTCTTGCATGCTTGGGAATTGCTTTGCGTTTGTGTGCTGTCTCGCGCGCAGGATCTTGAGCGAAGACCAGTCCAGGGCAATTCGAAGACCATCTATGTGGACATGTGCGGACACACCATGCAGCTGGTCAAAACTACCATGAAGGAAACTGCAACATGTCGGGGCTCCTGAGTGCACCGTCGAGCTCCATAAGCGATGCCTTGGAGCAAGGGCAAGTTTCACCCTCCAAGAGACCAGGAGGCAGGTGTCAGGCTCCACACTTTCGCACGAATCTCCCTAAGACTACTTCAATCGGAGGCGAAGGCCATCACTGCGACTATTGGTTCGGCAATTCCGCACATTCTTCCTCTCTCACAGGCACGAGAACGCAGAGGAAACGCGCTCCGACCACTCAGATGCATGGCACACAGCTTCGGAGCCACGGCATGGTGACACGCTTTCACCAATCAGAGTGGCAGCGCTTTCCAAAGCTCGATGACCTGGTCATCTGTTCCAGCAAACTTCCAGCAAACCCTGCCAACCTAGATCAACATTGAATCGAAGTCTTGGAGAAATTTCTCGCTTCAATCCTATGGCACACAATTCCAGCCTGTCTAGGAAGCCTTCTTCTGCTGCCCGTTCAGGAGAATGTCAAAGTCTGCCAGCTGACTTCGAAGCGATCTGCGAGCCAAGGGCGCAACATACGGTGAAAAGGATCGACTCCTCAGGGTTACCTACTGTTTTAGATACTGGAGGAATCGAGACAGATCATGTGAGAGTAACTAGGGCCCTTCCCTCCTTGCAATACTTTCATGCTTCATCGGGGCACGGCAGACGACAAAGGATGAAGGGGATGCATCGTTAGCAAATCTCTACATGGCAGCCAAAAGACCTGCGTGGAGCCAGCTATGTGGAGCAAAACAAGGCATCGTTTTGTCGCTGTCTAGCGTCGTCATCCCCATCACCAATCAGTGGCGCAATGGCGACAAGATGCCACAGGCCACCCTGGCGACAGCCCCGCAAAGAGATCGACAAGATCGTCTCGAATGAATTGGGTAGGTGCCACAGCAGCCAGTGGACCGGCTCTGTGCACTTGCATCACTACCGACAGCTAGGGCAGAAGACAAAAAAGCCACCACCTGCAAGACACAAACTCCACTTTCGCCTTCGCCCAGGACTGAGCCTACAAGTTCTAGATCTTCTAGACATCGCGAATTAATGCATCACTACCGCCAGGGCGAATTGTGCACGTAGTATCAGTTGCCGAGCCAGGCACGCCGGCAAGTCACAGCTGGTCCTTGCCGAGCTTTCGTTTCGCCTCAAGCTATGAATCCACAAACTTATACTCAAGCACGTGCACAAGACGGTCAGCAACAGGCCAATGCTCGCTGCTGCTGAGTGTCGCCTTGATGCTAGCAAAGCTTGATCATGACTAGGCTATTGGTCTGCTGTCTTCGTCTTCGGGCACCTGGAGTTTGATGGTGTGGAACACCCGCACTGTCTAACTTCCACATCCTTGAAAGTATGTCGGGTGTTGTGCTGGACAGCTTTCAAAGACAAGCAGCCTGCAAACGGACGGCGGCTGTTTGCACTGGACCCTTTGCGAGCGGCGGTAAACCGCGGCAGACTTTAATGAAGACGTCATCGTCTACGTAGAGGGAGAAGAGACTGACGGTGTGCACAGCTGAACGCCGCACCTCGGCATTTGGGGGAGGAATCTGTGCAAGGAGAACGTGCATCTACCTGTCCAAGTCGCATCAGCGTCTTTGTCGACAGTGAGTTTCAGAACCAGCCCGAGATCCTTCGGCCAGCGTTGGAAACGCGGCAACAGAAGCAGCGGCTCTGTGACTCATCCCTCGAGTGTCCTTCTGCGATCGGAGGAGGGCCAACGTGGTACCTCGATCCAAGATGTCACCGATGGCTCGCATGCAACACGCGGCTGACCTGCCAGCACGGACTGCTCACAACTCACCGTCTACGCTTCCTCAGACTAGACGGAGACTGGGGCCTCAAGGCCCACATGTGTGGACATGTGCAGGGCCGCAACAGTGGCTAATCTTGGCTTTGGCAGCCACGCCTTTTGCTCTTCGAGGTCAGCCCATGCAGCAGCATCGGAAGCACTCGTCCCCGTGATGCGACGCATGCACAAATCCTGCGTCGACGAGTCGCCGCTGTGAAAGTTCCCCGATGGCACTGGCTGCTTCATGGGCAAGATTTCAGGCCTGAGCAGTTCCTGCATGCTCTCACGTATGACCAAGATGTTGTGCCCGGACCGCTCGACAATGTTTGGCACGAGAATCTGCGTCTCGCGATCCGTGAGCTGAACATCCATGCCTGGCATGTCTGCAATTGAATGCAAGCAAAGGCAGTTGTATGGTTCTGGCTGATTCCGCAATGTGCCGGGTCCAACGACACTCCAAGGCACGTTCCAAGTTCTGAAGCAGAGTCGTGAGCACATCCAAGACGAGCTTCCATACCTGCAGACGCAGGCACCAGCTAGGTCGTAGCACCTGGAACGTGCCTCTGTTCGACTCCAGACCCATATCTTGATACTCAACCCAAACATGATCTTGCCCAAGCTCCACAAGCAAGTTTGACTGCATTGCGCATCCTACCTTGGTGTTGGCATTCGTCAGCATCCTGGGAGGAAGGACAGAACTGGCTCTAAATCCGACGTGAAGGCAGCTGGACATCATGAAAGGCCGAGAGGCCATGTGAGCCACTTGAGAAGCATGTCCACTACGTCCGCTTCGAGGATGATTTCTATGTATTCACCAGCCTCCCCGAGACGATGCGGATCGCGGTTTGCTCGAGTCATGTGCAAAGCAGGAGCCTGTCTTTGCCAATGCTGCAACCCTGCGAGCTGTTCTTCTAAGCCTCCACGGGGCTTCAATGCGAATGCTGGACTTGTGGCTGAAACCTTCCCTTTTCAACACATGCAGCACAGCGGCGGTCTGTGAACATCTGGCGCCAAAGCCAATCCTGCAAGCATTGGGCCATGCTTTTAGTGACCACCGCCAGCGCACGCGCCACGGCACAAAAGCCAACCAGACAGGCTTGGTTCGTTGTGAAGACTGGCCACTGGCCACAACAGGTCTTGGAACCTTTTGCCGTGGCCGTTGCCTCAATGCAAACGCGCCATTGCTCGCGAAGGGATGCCAAATGATCCGCTGGGATGGTCTCTGGACCTTGGCTTCTGGAGAACTTTTGCCTTGCTGCGCGGCTCAGTCTGGCCGGACATCACCTGACCTCCGCAGCTTGATCGCAAGGGTCAAGGCTCTGGCCCCAGTACTGGCTTCTTTCCCTTTGCTGCCGGGCCTGGCCAGAGAGGGGACGGAGTTTGCGTCCCCGGTTGGTGAAGAAGCATTTGACTGACAAGGGCATGTGGCTCATCTTGTGCAGAAATTGAGCAATAACCTCTCGCCGCCACGACTGCAACTCTGTCCGCACATGACGAAACAGCATCGCTCCTGCTTCGATAGCTTGGTCGGCCCTATGTTGAAGGGCACCACGCCTGCTGCCCGCAAGTGCTGGTGCACAGTACACAGGCGCTCACTTATCCAATGCTACATGCGGCGATCGCCGTAATTCCCACTCGTGTTCAGGCTCGTCACATGCACCACAGTCCCCCGCAGATCTCTGAAGGAATCAGTGGGGGGCGGTTCATGTAAGAGGTCCCAGCTCGCACCGTAGAGAAGTGCAGTGTCGTCGTAAGAATTTTCCTGTCGTGTTGGAGAAGCTTCTGCAGCACTTAGAAGCAGTCGAGAGCGGGTCCAGCTGTCGCCGCCTGAGACATCCTGGCGTCTTCTCGTTTGGTAGGCGTCCCCGGAGTGTGCCGCCTCGGTAGCTCAGTCTGCAAAAACGGCTACGGTGATCGACGGTGCAAGGCATGCCGCCTCGTCGGCGTCATGTCCCGAGCATCTCTGCGTGTGGGTGTTGGTGCTCGCCGCGTGGGTGGCGTGGGATCGCGCCTAGCTCGGGGCGTTTGCTCTCGTCGCGTCGGCGTTGCCTCTCGCCTTGTGGGGGTGGGCTCACGCTGCTCACGTCTCGTTGGAGCCCCGAGATCTCTCCTGCTGGGATCTTTGGGCATCAACACGAGCTCACGCTGCCGCGTTGGCGTGGGCTCACGCCTTAGGGGCACCTCCCGGCTCGTCGGGGTGGGCTCTCGCCTTGTCGGTGTTGGCTGTCGCCTTGTCGGTGTCATCACCTCCCTGCGTGTGCTGGGCTCCCGCTTTGGTGTTGCATCGCGGCCTGGGCTGTCAAGAACGAAACCGCTGCCTCATGAAAGCTGAGGTTGAGGCCGTTGCGCTCTAGAGAAGGAACGCGCAGCCGTTCTGCCGAAGGTCCACGGAGCCTCGTAAGCCAACGCCCAACAACCAACACCTAACTTGAAAGCAGATCGCACGAAAGCTGGAGGGGAGGGAAGTGTCAGCTGTGTATTGCAAACGCGTGCAGATGCTGGTATGGCAAGCGAAAGTAAATGAGTGATGCAGTGCTCCTTGTACAAGTATGCTGTTTCGAAATAAGGAAGTTCAGCAAATACCACTTGGCCATGTGAAGGCTATGACGTATCTAGACTTGGGCCGCCCAAAACAGAGTCAGATGATGCTACCACTTTCAGTCTTTCAGGGCTCAGCCCTGCAACTGCCTGTCTTGCCCCTGCCTGCTGATGACTGGCCCGGCTGAAGCCCCGCTCGGCCCGCCCGCGACCGGGGCCGGTGACAGCACCTCCGTTTGGGTCCGCTCCTGCGATTGCGAAAGGGTGAACGCAGCTACCGGTAACTCCGAGAGCACATCTTTGGACCAGGTGCGACCAAGCGGCCATCTCAAGCTGCTTCACCTGTGCCGCAGCATGGGCCACGGGGGCCAGCGGAGAAGAATCTCCATGTTTCATATGTTTCTTGCATGAGTTCGCCTATCCGAGTCCCTACGCCCGAACCGGCAACCGGCCTTGAAGCGCAAGTTGCGGATCTCCTCTGCCATCTTCTTCATCAAAGGTGTCTCAGAAGGACTGCCCGTGGGGTTTATGTCGGGAGAGGCCGGCGAGATGCCCTGAGCCGGTGTGGACTTGGGAAGTGCAGACTCCTGGGCCTTCGGTGACTCCACAGGGACGGCATGGAGCCGCTGCTTCAGCGGTGAGGTGCGCCTTCCTGGAGGTGAGAGTGGTGTTGGTACCGAGCGCAGCTCAGGCATGATGCTAGGTGAAGGACTTGGCGTGGTTGTCGGCAATGGGTCTTTGGAGATTTTCTTCAGCTCGTCATCGAAAACAGCTCGACGATGAGACGGAATTCGGTCTACAACCATTGGAAGATCACTCGAAGCCTTATTCTGGACCACCAATCTTGCCAGCACTTTGGCTGCTTCTTGTCGCACAGTGTTGTCGGAGTCATCGATCAGTGGCAGTGTCAATGTCGCGACTGCGGCGAAAAACCGCTGACATGCGTCAGGGTAGATCTCGAGAACCTTGAAGCCGGACTGCAGTTTTGCACATCCACACATGCACACACACGGACCCCTACTGATTTCTGAACTCGTGGTCTGATGGCTTCTCAACCCTCCTTTCGGCTTCGGTCGGTGCATGGTTCCATCTTCACTGGAACAAGTCTGAGGCACCTGTGGGAGCTCCAAGCCACGAAGCAACAAGTTCAGTGCTTCCTTCTTCACGAACAAACCTGCCCAGCCGCAAGAACTCTCAAGCCACTGCTTGATCTGTAGCGAGCGATTACTTCGAGTACGTGCACCTAGACCGAGGTGCCTCATCAGTTTCTACGACCGCATGGGTGGAAGCAGAGGCAAGGCTGGCTTGGTCTGTCCACAGCTTGGAAGGGAGCATTTCCCCGGGGTCTCTGAGAGCACAGCGTGTTTCAACTGCCCCACGGGCTTTGATCCAGGTTTTAAATCTTCTCAGACCACTGCTGCGCATCACTGTCACTGTGACCGGAGGGTTCGGGTTTTCATTGTTCATCTTGACTGGATTTAGTAGTTGAGCTTGACTCGATAGAAGGCTGGTTAAGAAGAGACTCTGATCGATTGAGAACCCCGGCTACATCAGGCTGCACTGTCTGTACTTTCTCCCTGCCATCCATCTTAATCTGTCTTCAAAGACTCCGACTCATGGTGTCTCTGGTGTCCGGGCTCTTGCGATTGCACTGCCAGACGCTGCTAGGAATATGTGTCCATCCAAGGACTTCTGGAGCAAGTCGAGAAGCTTTTGGAGCCAATGTAAGGTGGAAGCTCCTGCCAGCTCGTCTCCGTGTCCCCTCTACTGACGCTGCAGAACAATCAGTCTTTCTTCTTGTCTTGGCTTAGGCCTGTCCTCCAGGAGAACCTCGTAAGGCATAGACCACAAGAGTTGCTCCACCCTGTCAATGAGGCAATTGTGCTTCCAAACGCCTTGGATTCACATCGCCCATGACAACACAGCATGAGTGGTCATCCTTTCAGCATTGCTAAACACGCCTAGCCATAATCCCACAGCAGTTGCTCGGCAATAACGTTTCCACCAAGAGGGATCTGAGTCCAAAGGTATCTTGTAAGCAGTCTGCGAACAGGCTGAGAGACACCTAGACTTGCTTTCTGTCTGAAACGTCCACACCGGATTCGAGTAACGAAGGGTGTCACGCTTTGTCGCGATGCTAGTGTGTACCCAAAGCATCCAGCAAGCTGCTCTTGTCGGTGATCCGAGTCAGAGCGACGGGCAAGAGCGCTTTGGCGTGCTTCTCGAAACTTCGCCGGAGACCCTTGGAGATCAAGCCCATGCCTGAGGCCAAGGGTCAGCTCTGCGAGCATACCGGTTCTAGGTTTGCCTCGATAAGCCGTTCAGCTGTTAACCGCGCCGAGAACGAAGCACAGACGGCTGGTCGCGGCCGAAGTTGCACTTGGCTACTTCGGTGAGCACTGGAATGTTGCTTTCACCTTGGAGATGCTAGCATGTGACGAACCAAATTACAGTCACAGTGAAGCTGTCCGGCAAAGCTTCAGCCTGCCAGTCCCCTCTCCTACCTAGGAACAGAAGGAAAAGTTGGTTCTGCGAGGGTGCTGCAAGACACACCATGTGGTTCTCCTACTCTGAAGCCAAAATGCCTTTGATCATGCGCTGGATGGTCGGGACCAGGGAAGAATAGCCGTCCCCCGGCGCGAGACGGTGCTGCTCAGCTGGGTGTTCCAAGATATCGGATAACACCTCAGGAACACTTCCACGCAGGATGTCATGATCCTTGAAAAGTCTCTCCAACGGCCCGGTGGCCTGCAGATGCTGAAGCTTTTCCTTCCACTTCTCCATGGAGGTGACGCTGGTGATGCACCATCCTCGCATTCGAAAGACGGGCTTGTTTTCAGCTTGACTTGGAGGGTGCTGGCTGCTCGCCACGTGATTACGATTTGCCACATTTCGGCACTCACGCCCAGTTGCGACACTTGCGGAAGCAGTTCCGAAAGCCATTGACGGAGCGATAGCTGCTATGTCATGAACTCATGAAGAGGGATTCTCCTTTGGGAAGTTTGAGGAACGGGTCGACTTTGCCAAGGAGATGACCTGTCGGCAGTACATGTGTTCCGCTACACTACGCAAGCAGTGATCAATCAAATCTGGATGAACAGCTGCACAGAAGCCTGCACTCGCACTGGCTGCTGTTGGAGCAGCGGCCTCGCCTTGGTAACAGTGATGCAAAACTTTGTCTCGAAAAGTGTCATGTCGTTTGATGCGCCGATCTGCCTCTGTAGCCGCGCTTTGCAGCCTTCCCGGATTCCTTGACTTCCTCCAGGCGCTTTGCGACCTGGAGCTGCGCCACGTAGCAGCCGTGTGCGGTGCTCCAAACCTGGAGGGTGAGCCTCCTTCCTTTGCGGCTCATCCATGGTCTTGGTGAACTCTGTGATGTCGCCGAGCCATAACGACAGCTCCAACAGCACTCCTTAGAGGAGCCAAAGGCAAACCTCTCAGTTCCTGCGTTCCCGGCGCTGCTGAGAAGCCGTAGCATGCTTCACGCAGGAGGCGGTCGCTGTCGGCCACATACTTCTGCACGATGCCTCAGCTGCTTAGAACACTTTCTTCCAATCCAGGCTTGCAGTGACGTTCGCCCTGGCACTGTGCTTTTCAGAAGGCGGAGTTTGCCCAATCAAACCCTCGGCACATAATGAATGTTTGACCCCATCTTTGTGCAATACTTCGGAAACGTCAGCTCGTTCAGCAAAGATGCCAATATATCCCAGCTTAGGTGGCAGCTTCTGAACACCGAAGTCGGCCAGAAGCAAACCTTGCAGCGGAGATGATACGAAGGTCGAGATCTGCTGGGCTGGAAAAGGCACCAGAAACCCGTTTCCCTTCAGGACCGCCGGAATTACGAATTGAGCCTCACAAGGTGAAGGAGTGTCCTAAGAAACCATGTTCCGACTTTCTGTTTTCTGAGAACTTGCTTGCAGACAGGCCGCCGATCATTTTAATGATGAACGCGAGCTGCTTCTTCAAGAAGCCCGCAGTCTTCTTCCTTAGGCAAAAAATTGAGTTGATGCCTGCGAAAGCTAGGACGCTGGAAGCTAAAAAGCTGGTCTTCTTGCGTCTTCGGCTCTTGGCACCTTCCAGGTCTGCTATGCAGTTTGTGAGCTCTTTTAGGACGGCTGGACACTCCTCAGTGTCAGTCAAGCTCACCGCCGCGAGCTCGTGAAGGCCACCCCTATGCTCTATGCGTCCCTATGCCGAACAGTACAATACTCTTGAGAGCCCATCGAAGACACAAAATGTCTAGACCATGCATGCAGGGAGCAGCGATTTCGGCAATGAGTAGTATGATCGTCGGGGCAAGCTGCTGCATCTTCGGCTTGTCAATGGTCTGCGTTCAGCATTGCGCATGCGCAGCGCTTGAGAAATCGCTTGCATGCCAAACGCATTGAGTCAGTAAGCTCAGTAAACCTATAGGCGTGGCAGTTCGATTTGCCAATTTTTGACGAGCCTTGTGCTCTGAGAGCTTCCGCACCTCAGCTCAAGTCGCACTTAGTCGCATCCCGATTGGTCGAGTCACGCTCTCTTCTTCTATTCTTGTGGTGCCTCTCTGTCTCTCTGTCACTCCCTCCAGGGCATGAGGAGCTCTCTTTCTTTCGTCAGGGTTAGATGCAAGGGGAAGTTCGCCTCGCCCGTGCGCCTCTCTCTGTCTCTCTCTCGCTCTCTCTCCTGGGCATAGGGGCCGTCCAAAGCCCCCGGGCTTAGTAGCCCACCCAACGTGTTGTTGGGCACATGGGAGTGACAAGAGAGTATAGATCATCATAGGGCTAAGGCCTTAAAGTGTGCGATAACGCGGGAATGATGATCGTATACTCACCATGACACATGCCATGGGAAGAGAATGTACCCTAGTCAGAGGATAATCTGCGGAGGTAGGCGTCTTCTCCCCGTTTGTCCGTATTTGGCAATGCATCAAGCTTTCCAAGGGACACGGTAGATTGTGAAGCGCGTCTTTCTTTCGCCAGGGCTGTGGGCTTAGGGAAGCGTCTCTCTCTTCTTCTTCTTCCTCAGGGCATGAGGGGTCGGTTAGACCC